AAATGCTGAAGTTTTGCTCATAAAATATTTTATTCGCTTGCTCGAAGACCATCTAAATAGCCTAAAGATAAGTTCAATTATAGCCACATATGTTTCCGTTAATGCCGAGTAAGCAGGAGTGGTCATCCACCGAACAGCATTAGATTGGTCTTAATTACTGCGACTGCCCAATTTTGCGCCGATATTCCAGGCAGAGTTAATGGCAGTCATTCTGGCCGTACGCAAGCTCCCAACATATATCTTTGGTTGTTATACTGAACGATTCTTTGCCAGTATGCACTGCTCTGACAGCACCAAGGACATCGTGTTGTTCATTAGAATTTGATACGTATATACCCAATCACTTTCATGTTATCCGATTGGTTTGGGTGCCAGGTCACACAGGACTAAAACTAAATGAAGCGGTGGACACACTGGCGCCAGAATTAATTCAGGGCCCCGACCTGAATATTCCAAAACCCTGCTGCCTACTTACAATCACGTGATTTCGATAATTCTTTATACGGCAAGAACACACCAACTCTTCTGTTTTAAATAGCGAGCTTTTGAGCACCTGAATAGCTCAGTGGTTAGAGCATCGAGCGCGTTTTTCGAAGGTCATAGGTTCGACTCCTGCTCAGGGCAAGTTATTTTTTCACCCACTTTTCTTTTTTCTTAATTACATTACATTGGTTCTAATAACTTCCCCTATACATTCCTTCGCAGTATTGTCTGTTAGATTTTATTAATATTGTGTCAAAACACGGAAAAACGAGCCCTTAGGTATAAACTTCTTTCCCTTATTCATTAACGAAAATCTCGTAGTGGCAGACTTGGTGCCGTTAGGTTGTGTACGAGGGACTGTTGGTCAGCTGCCCACTCGTAATATATTCACGCGCTACATGACGCCACACAGGCTCATAAAAGCGTGTTCCACACTCGCCGCTATAGCTACAGATGGCGCTGACTGACACTACCACGTTTAAATTCACATATAAACCCAATTAGGTGACAGGGGGGGGGGGGGGGGGAAGATAGCCTCCATGATAGCTGAGTGGTTAGAGCGTCGAATGCGTTATTCGAAAGTCATAGGTTCGATTCCTGCTCACGGCAAATTATTTTTTCACCCACTTTTCTTTCTTCTTATTTACATTACATTGGTACTCATAACTTTCCCTATACATTCCTTGGCATTAGTCTGTTAGATCTTATTACTATTGTGCCAAAACACGGAAAAACGAGCCCTTAGGTATACACTTTTTTCCCTTATATATATATATATATATATATATATATATATAGATATATATATATATATATATATATATATACATATATATATATATATATATATATATATATTGTGACGCTATGATGAATGGGAGACGTGGTCTGGCTCATACGCCATGTTTACTCCAAAAGCACTTCTTCCTCCTCTACTTCTCCTAACCATCCCTGCCTTCTTACGTTACAGGATTCCCCCTCCCCCCGAAAGAAGTTGCGTCAGACGAACAGAAATGAAAACTGAACATGAACGGCTTATAACTGAGCACTGTCAAAAAGAGAAAATCATTCCAAGTCCGAGGAAGTTTCCGTTAACACACTATAGCTTCACAGGAGAGTGCAGCGTTGATTACGTAGTCTTCTGGCACCTGGCAACCTGTTGGAGTCGCTTCCGAGCCTCCTGTGTTTGGGACGCAACCATCAGGCTCGCCCACCAGAACTCCTGCGTTAACCGGAGTGCTTCACTCTTTCCTGAAGTTTTGCGAGTTTACGGAACACCACGGGGCCATGAAACCAAGTGTGCATTTTGACATTTGTGACTTTTCAACCTCTTCTTGTGTACTTTTCCTTGTTTGTAATCCATGCCTTTTTTCGGGGGGAGGGGGAATCCGTGTGACGTATGAAGTGATGATTGGTAGAAGCCGAGGAGGAAGAAGTGCTTTTGGAAATAAACATGGGGTGTGCGCCACGCCACGTCGCTCATTCATCGTAGCGTCACACACACACACACACACACACACACACACACACACACACACACACACACACACACACACACACACACACATATATATATATATATATATATATATATATATATATATATATATATATATATATATATATATATATTATAAGGCTGACAGCGCCCCTGAGGCGTGGGCGCACTCTAGGCAAGACTGCGAAGAAGAGCACCAAGCACCACGAAGTCGGAATAAGCACAGCTGGCCTACTGAAAAGGTGTCGCATGTCTCTTACTTCTCACCATAAATGGCGCAGTCTATGACCTACGAGCTGTAATTGCATCCCCATGAGTGATCACTGCCGTGGTCTTGCCTTCTCGAACGCCGTTCACGCCTCCACGGTCATGGAGCCGACGACCCTCTTACAGCCGGCCGCACCTATGTCGCCATTCGAGGACGGCGTCCAGACCTTCTCGATAACTCACGGGCAGGCTCACCGCAGTCTTACCAAGATAGTGCATTGCCTACCATTGCACGGGAACACCATTCACGCTTCCCTCTGTGACAACACCTCACTCCGTACTCTCAGAACACCTCAGCCCCTCAGGACAGCTGTCCAAGCTGCCTCGGTCAGTGGCAGCACATCAGCGAGTACGGAGTACGCTGATTGAGTACTACATTTCGGACGTCAGCCCTGTCTCCGAATGCAGTTAGCCCGAAAGTTCCACCGAGCTTTTCCACACCATCGCGCGACTAAGTGTCGAGGTCAGCGCCTTAACAGCGTCGATGTCTGGACTTTTCCTTGTGGCCTTGCCAAGACTGCACGTCATTTGTGAGGTGTTGGTCGCAGCAGCCTCACAAGACCATTCAGCAACATCACACGAGAGCCGTAGCAAGCTGCAGTATACCCTCACGGCACTTGGCGTTGCTATTTTCTGGAGTTTAGCCTGCCGTGTCACCACGATCGCCAGTCTTCGATCTACCGGAGCTCCGCGGCTTACAAGACGCCGTATTTGGGTGGATTAAGGCCGTCAACTCACCGGCCAGCCTCCACGCCTCGCCGGAAGACAGGAAATGGATAATTACTATCGATCGCCTTCGTGGTGCGGTCAAAGCATGGCGCAACTATGAAGGTGCGCAACAACTATCCTGTCCTCAGTGGTGTGCAGGACTGATTACTGTTTTTCGGCTCTTCTCGACACTTGTGACCTCTTTCCTGCCGACCTAGTTTCTACCACGAATGGAAGATGTGAGGCTCACCACCTCACGAGTGCACGTCAGCCCCATTCCACCCCGCCAGCTCTCGTAGAACGACTTAGGGAGGGGCAGGACGTAGCCGGGCCGTTTACCAACGTGCCTCCTCCCACACATCGAACTCACGTCGAACACCAGCTCGATTACTCATCGCAGTCCTCCAGCTTGACCACAAATAACAAAGTCTCTATAGAGTCTTCGCAGTTGGCGATGCCACCTCCAAGCTCGACACTATCTGGGCACGTGGCCGGTGTCCTGCCGGATGATCCACAACTCAACGCACCCTCCCTGTCGAAAAATGCATGTAACGCCACGGCTCACACTCTGCCTTTACAGAGAGTAGTCATATTCAGTCATAAAAAGATCGGCCCTGATCAGTCTCAGCCATTTGCCGGGACGCGGTAGTCAGGAGACGCCTGCACCCGTGCTCGCCATTTCCCGAGAGACGTCTCTTGTGAATGTCCGATTGCGTCCAGAATGTGACGAGAAAAGCGGCAGTGGTGACTGCGACCTTCCCACAACAGCCAATGCTGTCCACCTCAAGTACCTGCAGCAGTACGCCCAACACCATTGCACAAGGATTAAAACCTGCAACGACCACCTCGAGACAGCCAGTGTCGTCCGCCGGAGTATGTGGCTGATTCCCACACCAAATCGCAGCGTGGCTGACGACGACCTCAGCGATGCACCCAGTAATGCCCTCCAGATATACTTCTGAGAAATACTCGGACCAAAACTTAGCGTGGCCGAGACGTACGCCCACGACGAGGCAGCCAAAATCATCCGCCTGAGTCTTCGGAAGCTTGGAAAAACATGTCACGGCGTAAAGAAGATAGACCACCACGGCACACTCAATGCTGCCCGCCAGAGACATTTTCAGCAGTTCGTCCAACTTCGTCGCTGTCATGGCCGAGTGTAAAGATTACAGCGCCACTGGGGCGCGGGCGCATGCTAGACAAGACTGCGAAGCACATTATGACAGTCAGAATAAGAATAGCCGGCCTACTGAACAGGCGCTGTCTTTTATTCGGATTACTCTTTCTATCCTACACACACACACACACACACACACACACACACACACGCGCGCGCGCGCGTGCGTGTGTGTGCGTGTGTGTGTGTGTGTGTGTGAAAAGTGTAGTAAGCACTTCATAAAATAGGGCACTCTTTCATGCAAATGGACAACGCCACTGTGTGTCCTTTTTCTCTCTTCATTTGTCCGCCATGACTACCACACCGCTCAATTCTAATCTGTGGTGAGTTGACAAGGATAGCTAGCAGATACTAGATAAGACGAATAGAGATAAATAAAGTGAATGTGAGAGAAGCTATTAATTGCAATGAATGTGAAGGTGTATGTTCTTGCCAAACGCAAAAATTCTCTGATAAGTTGACCAGCCGCCACGGTATCATCTGGACAAACTTGGATGCACGGAGTCGAGAAGCCGATGCGGTGATTAGAAGAAAAAAACGACGCGTCGAGCCTCGAGAGCAATTTGCATCCCCGTTTTCTCTTCGCGTGGTGCGAGATTCCAGGTGCGGCGGATGCTTGCAGCGGATACATTCCATCAATCAGTTCGTACAAAAAAAAATTTACAGTAACGTACTTTTTTGCACGCGCATGGGTTGCACGTGCTGAAACATTTAGCCGGTAAGGTCAAGAGATACTTTGACTATATTTTGTTTTATTTTTGTAGGCAGTTTGAATGCGTGTACTTTCAGTACTTGCTAAGTCGGTTGTGTTTTCAAACCACGTGAAGGCAATTACACCATATTCCATGTATAAAAGAAGTACTCGGCAAAGTCTATCACCACTTGTGAAGCTTTTAGCGTTCAGCATTTTTCGTTGTGAAGAGCTAGAGAGAAAGTATGAAACCTTTGGTGTCTTGTGCCCTATTGTTAGTTGTTTTTTCTGTGAGCTTTGCGCACCATGAAGAGCTTTGCGGTGAGTATATATGAGGTTGATACTTGTATCACTCTTTCTGAAATCACCTGTATTGCTTGCCTGAAAGCTATATTATGATACTTCCATTCAGAACAAAAAAAAAAAAAAAAAGCCGTGGCCTCCTTCATATGTAAAGACTTTCAGATTTGTCCTACTTCGTAATTTGCTTTATACCTTCAGGCACACTTTTTAAAACTGCAATTGATGCGTGTGGAACAAGTAAATTATATCGTTCATATTAAAGGATAATTCTATGATAAAGGGCCGGCATGTACTCAAATTTTGCTGGTTTAACGTCGACCTACTTCTTTTTGAGCGGGACGCGATTCATATTGTTAAGGAGAAAGAGAAAAGGAAGAGGAAGGACAGAATCAAGTGACAGGCACGTGGGTGTGGCGATCGGCCATTGTGACTCTTGCCTGTGGCTGTTCTTCTGTAATAGCGTTTTGTACAGAAGTCACCGACCCGGTAACATATTGGTGGAGGTGCTGGGTTTAGCTAGCCCATTCTCTTATCGACGCATTCTGCTGATTTATTCGCATCTATAGTATGCAGGTTACACCTACCATTTTTCTTTCCATTGCTCGCTGCGTCGTCCTCAATTTAAGCTGAACCCTCTTTGTAAGTCTCCAGGTTTCTGCTCCGTAGCTAAGTACCGGCAAGATACAGCTGTTATATACCTTTCTCTTGAGGGATAGTGGCAATCTACCTGTCATAATTTGAGAGTGCTTGCCGAATGTGCTCCACCCCATTCTTATTCTTCTAACAAGAAGAGACAAGAAGAGAGCAGAGTGGATTAGGGAACAAACGGGGGTTAAGGATATCATAGCTGAAATCAAGATGAAGAAATGGACATGGGCAGGGCATGTAGCGCGTAGACAGGATAACCGCTGGTCATTAAGGGTAACTGACTGGATTCCCAGAGAAGGGAAGCGGGTTAGGGGGAGACAGAAGGTTAGGTGGGCAGATGAGATTAAGAAGTTTGCGGGTATAAATTGGGAGCAGCAAGCACAGGACCGGGTTCACTGGCGGAACATGGGAGAGGCCTTTGTCCTGCAGTGGACGTAGTCAGGCTGATGATGATGATGATAATGATAGTATGCAGGATCACTGGTACGATAAAAGAGAAAACAGAGCTTGAGTGAACGAAGCTTTTTGCAAGAAACATGGTTTTTTGAGAATCGGAACAGGCCAACATTGACAGTGAATTAAATTATTTTATTATTTGGTCATGCAGCATAATAAAAATAGCTAAAATAAAGGAAACAATTTCGGAACAATACTATATGCTTATATGCAGTGTTTGGAAGTACTGAACCAACAGTTCGAAGCATAGACAGGGGAGCAGCACAGATTTCGTTATGCGTGGGTAGACCAACTTGTAGAACCACGCAAATTTTCTGATAACATTTGTCACCTTCTTAGTACAGAGGTATATTTGCTAAAGTTTCGAATTCAGGAACGCAATTCATGTTACTAGTTAGGTAGTAGAGCGAATTGTTCTACCTTTAGTTTTTGAAGATGATGTCAGCGCATAGATAGATATGTGGGGTATAACGTCCCAAAGTCATCATATGGTTATGAGAGAAACCGTAGTGGAGGGCTACAGAAATTTCGACCACCTGCGGTTCTTTAACCTGCACAAAAATCCGAGCACACGAGCTTACAGCCTTTTTGCCTCCATCGAAAATGTAGCCGCCGCAGCCGGGATTTGATTCCGCGACCTGCGGTGGAGCAGCCGAGTACCTTAGCCACTAGACCACCGCGGCGGGGCAGATGTCAGTGCATCAACAGTGAACTCATATGTGAGAGAATTCGAGTAAATTTTTCTAGGCACCACTACGAAGGTCTTCGAAATTTAAAAAATAAATCACATTCTTGCTGGCACAGGAAAGAGCAATAAGTGCAACCACAAAATAAAAAATGGAAAAAAATGCATTATTATACGAAGAAAGGCTAGCCCACTCTAGGTGACCTTCATGCTGTTTACAGCTTCAAAGCAAATTTTGTGATGAGAGCACACGTACAAATATATGAGCCGTCTGCTGATCCCCATTAAATATACCCACGCGTCAACAAACGAACACGCCCGGTCGGTCAAAGAACGTAAGTTTCTGTCAGAGGTGGACAGGTCTCTGTTCCGCCAGCCCCCATTTTCTGCGTTTTTTGCGCAACGGTGGTGGCCAGCTGGTTTCAACTCTGCTTGAGCCGCATTCGTCGGCAGTGCTCGTGTATACTTTCGCTCATCCATATAACATACGAGGCACGGGGAAATGGCATTGATATACGCAAGTTTATAAATTGGGGTGATAGCAACGTCAGATTTGTGCCCGGAGTATCCATGCGATTGCTATCACGATAAAAATAAAGAACAAAAACCGTCTATACAAAGCCTACATGCATCTTTTTGAACAGATGTCAATAATATAAAAAGAATGATGCTTTAGCGCAAATTGAGAAGTTACAGCGTGAGTACGTCTCATGCCTTTCCTGATGTGTGTAAGTCTCACGGCCATTTTATTTTCGTTTACAGAAAAAGATGATGAGCAGTTGAAGAGTGAACTCATCTGCATCAAACTACTGATATCGCAGGAGGTACGATACATATGTCACGGGATTTTCTGTGGATAAGCTCTCACCAAAAGCAGTGGCTTGCAAGGGATACAGAAGAAGGGAAAAATGCCGCAGTATTAAAAATAATGCTGAATTTTTACCTGCATCGGAGGACTAAAAAACTAATAGCATAAGTGCAGTTAGAATAGCGAATCCCAATACATAGCCGTGCTTTCTTTGTCCGCCATGCAAGCGCTGTTGCACGCCACGCGAGGAGCAGGGCTGTTGCTAGTTTTTGCCACTCATTGGCACGCGGTTACTCTTAGCATGCGGTCTTGGCAGAACATATATTGGCTCACCTCGACTCCTTATACCTCTCCGGGATGACGTTAAATATCTTGGCATGAAGACTTGCTACCATAGTTTGCTAGGATTTCCCGCAGTTTTTTTAGTTATATTGTGATATAAAGGACGAATAAGTTACGGTGGTTCCACCAGGTGAGAAATCTGCACAAATAGCGGAGCTGCGGTTCTCACTGGTGAGTTCCTGATATACCCGCGCGGAGTAAGACACACGGACACTCACTTGTTGTGAGGTTCAGCTTTATAACGCCTCCACTATAAAATAAACGATGAAGTCAGTAGTTTTCCAAGTCAGTTGTCACATAGCTCCTGCTGCTTGTGAAACGCTTGCACGTGAACGTGTACTGTTTTTCCTCTATAAAAGTGATAGCTAATGCCTCTGTTTTCGCTTTATACTTATCATATGGATATAGGTGACAGGGAGTATTTCAAATGCGCGTTTTTTTTTTGTTTAACAAAGTGACGAGATAGAATGCGCATGCTCTTTGCCAGTGCACTCGTACACAGAGCCATCCTCCCTTTCACGTGAGATCAAATTTAACAGATGCTAATCAATTCCTCTCCCCAATAATATACCATAGGTAGACGCGCCTCCCTGAAGCCCTAATTTCTTCTTCTTTTTTATTATATTAGAGGACGCATAGTCTTGTCCAAGGAACCATACTTGATCCTCAAGCATAGTTGTTCATGGCACAATTGCTTATCTTAAACATCGCGTATTCGTGCATTCAATGTAACATCGTTTGGCTACGTGCTGCAGGCAAACAAAAGTTTTAACGACGCTAAGAAGGATCTCAACTGCAATAGCAGGAGCTGTGTCATACGAAAGCTGTGCGAGGGAGGCGATCTGGTAAGTATAGTTTCTATCTCTCAGTTTGCGAAAATTGTCCACGATATCAAAAACATGGGACTTGTGAGAGTGTATATAGAGTGTAGCTTCGGCGGTTCGCGTTCAAGGATAGAACGGAGACAATGTTTAGAAAGGCACACGTTTATAAAGTCTTCGATTCATTCCGAAAACCAAAAGGCAGCACAGCAATGGCGAAATAAATGGCTCCTTCTTTGGCTTGGTCATTATAATCCAACAAGTGTGGCGCTTAGATCAAGCGGTATTGATTACGCCTGAAAAACACGTAATCTTTAAAATTTGATCGAAAAGGAGACAAAACTTTGCAGGCGCTAGTTTTCTGAAGACGCGTTTTGAGAGAGATTGAAAGGCAGGCCACAAGCCTACTTATGCTACATCTGAATATTTTCTAATTTATCTTTATTTATGCATTTTATTTCAAGAAGAAAACCTAAGGCTCTCATGACGAGGGTGTTACACGAGCGGACATATATCGGTTACATGTTTTACATTTCAAAAGTTCCAAAAAATGCAATGTAAATGAAGTGAAACATGTAGAAAAATAATTTTAATACAGAGGAAAGCATGAAGAAGCACCCAGAGTGACGGGAAAATAACCTCAGATGACAAGAAAAAGAAAATTAACATTCTGTCATTAGGTGGCATGTTGTGCGTGATCATGAAATATGTTAAGACTGTGTTCTCGGGCAACGTCGGTGGTATTGCGTTCCTCTCGGTTATTGTGCACGGCAGGAATGAATGAAAGACTGGTAGTTTGTGCGTTCAACTCAATACGTATGGCCACGACATGGGCAAAAAGCTTGGTGGTGGCTGAAAGAATCCATCTTGAGAGAATGATGGTGATAAAGTTTATGGAACATTGATAACTGAAAAATTTTACGGCAAAGTGCTTTCGAACTGTGGAACGTACCTCTGTACATAAATGCAGAACGCGCAGAGCCACTGGTGTAATTTCCTTGAGAAGCAAGGAAGAACGAGTAGAATAGAAATGTCAACAGGTGACATGCACTGTGGGAATAGATTCCCTACAAATCAGTCTGCAAACAAATGCTTGTGCGCCGTTTTCAGCCAAGTCTCACGAGGTGTACCGACGTTTTTGTGCAATTGGAGGAGTTACGTGCATATCGGGAGATTACAAGGCACGTCAATCAAGCTTAAGTCTGAAGCGTCGTTCATTGTCTGTCGTAACGTTAGCACTCAGGTGGCAGAGCAGGCATCGCTTTTATTGAAACCGCAAGTAAGCAGTGTTCGTAGGCGTGTCCCTGCGGAGGGGTGCAGCGCCAGATTCTTGTTGTATTATACAAGTACGCTTGTAAGCGCTTGCGTACCACAATATAATCGTCCGCTTCAATAAAAAGTACATTAAACATGTTTTTGTGCCAGAACAACGCCTGCTCTAGAAAGATGGCTCTCTATTTCATTGTAGCTGTGCTGCCTTGAGTTGTCGTTGGTTGCCGAGGGATGGTGCAAGATCCACCCTTTTGTTTTCAATAAGGTTGGAAAGTGGTGAGCCGTAGGGGTGGGCAGGGGGTAGTGTGTGCATGCGCACATATGTTTTGCAAGCAGTCACCACATGGATCGCCGGCTATTACACCTATTAGAAACGAGGAAGAAAGGAAAGGAAAGGGCAGCAGATTTTTGGCTCACGCGGGAGGCTTTTTGTAGAGAGGGCGTTAGCCAGAAGCATGGTATGATTACGAGGCACTTCACGGGGAAGGGCTCCGCCTAATTCGACAACCAGGAGTTTGTTTACGTGCAACCACAACGCCTAATGCACAGGGCTCTAGCATAAGATATCAAGAACTATAAAAAATGCTGTGTCTTTCTCTTGTTTAATTTAAGGAAAAGGTCTAATAAACCTATCAATGTCCATTGTGCAGTCATGGTTTGACAGAGACTATGAATCACCAGTGTAGCATACCTGCATACTATGGGCCACGGTATGCGGGTATCGTTACTGTGGGAAGAAGTCTGATGGCGTACATGACAAGCGTGTAGTGTTATTCATGTCATGACCACCCATTAGTCATTAGCGCCACACACTCATCTTGGCTCTATTTGGCAAATACCAAAGTAAGAAGGTGACGACGACAGCGCATAGATGTAGGCAAATAGATAGATAGATAGATAGATAGATAGATAGATAGATAGATAGATAGATAGATAGATAGATAGATAGATAGATAGATAGATAGATAGATAGATAGACCGAAAGACAGAGAGACACAGACAGACAGACAGACAGACAGACAGACAGACAGACAGACAGACAGACAGACAGACAGACAGACAGACAGACAGACAGACAGACAGACAGACAGCACCGACAGAAATTACTTTGGTTTCCAAAAAGATGCACCGCTTTTGAAGACAAGAAAGTGGGCCCGTAACGTCACCATGACGTACTTCCCCGGCTCCAGCTTGAAATTATTGAAACTTTGCAACTGATGATTGGATTGGTGAATTGCTCCGGGAAAACACTCCCAGGGCAACACCTTAAAATTTCCAGTGAATAACCAAAAGCTACAATCGGGGCTCGTGAATTTACTGCGTACATCGCCAATGCACGCTCCGTTCACTTCAGCGCTACCACCAAAGCTTTTATTTTGTAGCATTGGCTCTTACGATACTGACACTTCACCAGAATTTTCCCACTTAGCCAATGACCGCAGATAATAATGGTTTTATCAGGGGTTTAACGCCCCCAAAACCACGATATCCTTTGAGAGACGCCGTAGTTGAGGGCTCCGTGAATTTCGACCACCCGGAGATCTTTAACGTGCACCTAAATTTAAGTACATGGGCCTTAAACATGTCTGCCTTCATCAAAAACGCATCCGCTGCTGCCAATATTCGATCGCCTGACCTCTGTGTTAGCAGTCGAGTGCCGTAACTACTACACCACCACGGCGGGGCAATGGCCAGATATGGACCACTGAAATTGAAAGGTATTAGGTGGTCGGAGAGCAGTGGACGATCAGACAGACTATAAGCATGAAATTGCAAATAATGCATCGCTACTAATTATCGACCTTGCTATTATACTTCCTGGTGAATCTAATTTGAAGGATTGCTTGTGAAAAGGTGTAGGGAGGCAAGGTGAAATCACTGAAATAAGCCCACTTAATCAGTTACACTTAATTGTGAAACAGTCACTTCAGCCATCGTGCGACACCCAATGTAAAGAGAAATCCCGTGTCAGAAATGTGGCCAGTAAATTACGTCATCTTCTATAGACAGTGCGCGTGGTAGTTCAAAAGCAAAAGCTCAGAAAGCAGACGTTTACAACCGATTGTTGGCAACCGGGCTATTGACTAGACGGCATCCAAGTCTCCAACAACGCGAAAAACAAAGAATGCGGCTGCATGTGGACACAGCGAGCTGCAGCGACGCAACGTTCAGGCCAATGTGCGGTGAAGCCATGCACGCGACCCGAAGTCACCGAAAAACGTGCGAGACACGAGAAAGTCAATAATCATAATGGCATGATCCACGTTGCTTCGGAAAACATCTACAAGCAGAGGAACATTTTACCGCAATGCTTAATTCTGCGACATAACACAGTGACACAATCAGCGCCTAGTAATGCTTCAACGTTAATATACTATAACAATTGTCTAAAGGCACTCACTGTTTTACTTCACATGAATTAGTTTGAATTTACCTTCTATTTTCAGCCTGTAACCTGTGAGTGCATATTTTCCGTTTAAATGACGAGCCTTGTGGCTGAAGATTTCCGCAAAGATCACTTCACCAAAGTGCTGCTTCTAAGGACCTCCGTGTTTGAGTTTTTCAGTGAACTCATAATAGAAAGTTGAAATTACAGTCTCCAGATGAGGAAACCCGTTTATCATGTGAAAACATGAAATAGCTGAAGTTTACAAAACTTTACTTCAACTTCAGAGCACTGGAGAGGTTTGACTTCACTGAAGTATGTACAACTGCCTATTTGTTGAAAATGGCATTCCGGACATCAAATTAGTGGTTTCACCGCCGTTTAGTTAAACAAGCTATGTAAAAGCAAATGGCTATGAAGTTACCTATCACATAAATCAGCCACTAACGTATGTGTGCGCCATCACACCTATAAATTTGTACAAAATAGGCCCATACAGTCTTTCAGCACATTCTGAACAATAAAATATATGAGCTGTCATTCACACCAACCGTGCCGATTCATTGAATTTTGTGGAATCTTGTTTTTAAACAGAATGCAGCCATGGAGCAGTATTTTACGGTGAGTACGAATATTGCATATTTTTCTAAGTGTTGTGTTGTAGCGGTACAAGTGCGCTACGTATTCCCGGCCATCCTATGCAATGGCTCGAAAGACACACGGCACTCTGGTCTGGAGCACAGTATAAATACAACTGAACTTCTTGCTTCTCATTGAAATAAATTCTCGCTCTCGGTGACCCAAATCACCATTGGATTATGACGCTCGTCGCTGCGAAGGTTTTGAATTGTTTTTGCAACCCATGGCTCTTTGATGTTCACCTGAGTCTACGTTCACAAACACACCTGTGTTCCATGCCTGTGAAAAATATCACTGGCCCGTGGCTGCGATCGAACCCTAGTCTCAGAGAGCTTTAAAGTAGAATGTCATTGCTACTGTGCACTATGCTCGTTAATGCTGTCATGTATAGTTTTTTTCCTGTCTGTCTGAAAATGCAAAACACACCCATCAAACTAAAATTGTTAGTGCACTGTGCATAGCAATGACCGTAGAGGACCAACACTGACGTGGATCTATCCCTGTAGTATGTTCAGTATCAGAGATGTATAAGTGTTAAGTATCACATCTCGTGAACAAAAAATAACATCAAGAAATGACTTACTGCCACTAGTCATAACAATGCGTCCTAGATTTCTTGAGGCTCTTACTTGCAACTAGCTTAAACAAAACACCTCGGAAGCCACTGGTACTGCATTACAACGATACAGATACTGCAGTTATTAAAATTATAGCCAAGATACAAATAAAACATGCGCCATTGATGCTGCTTTCTTAATAAGCTCATACGTTAGTCGGATAAAAACAATAACCTAAACACGACCAATTCATATATAAATTCACGGTCTATCGAGCAGACATATTATGTGATAAAGAAAATTATGGTAGAACGTTTATTTACATAAAACAACAAAGTCAAGGTGAGCGTCGGATATGTGAATAAGTGGGAGGTTACTTAAGTCAAGTAGTAGGAAAACGTTTTTTTTTTTTTCATTTTCTTACGTCGCTTTGGCTAAAAGGAACCCCACAACACTTTTTCAGCGTGGTCAGACAACTCTGACCATCAGTAGTCGAGGCTACTGTGAATACCCACCAGCCGAAACGTATGCGATTATTAAAAGTGTTTCCTCGTACGTTTCTCGCTTCCGTTTTTACTACAGAGCCAGTGCGCTTCATTCCTCGCTATGTCTATACAAATATATATATATATATATATATATATATATATATATATATATATATATATATATATATATATATATATATATATATATATATATATATATATATATATATATATAGGACGTGATGGAAAAAATCTGCTGTAAGTGTCCATATCTCAAGATTACGACGCACACTGCTGAATCAACTTAGCCTCTATCCCCTTTATCATTATCATCACCCCTCCCACCCCCTGCGTAGCTTTTAGCGAGCTCGCTGGTTCAATGTGATAAATACCTGTAACTCTTCTCCTACTTGACGAATTCTAAGATTTTTGCGGCAGTCAATGATTGAGGCAATAAACACCTTTAATCAAGCCATTTGACGACTACTTCGATGAGTCAAAAGATATTCTGCAATTATTCTATGTGTTCCGATGATATATTTAGGTCAAGTTGGTTCTACTTCTGTTCTATTACTGGTGTGATTTTATTTACATGCATAGTTTGAAACTATGAAAGGGTTGACTGCTTTTATTACATTGATCTTTTATATGAGTGTTGTTTCTTTCCTAATTGCCAGACTTTGTTGTATATTTTCATGCGTGCGCAAACAGAAGGTCATTTGGACAGTTTTTACTTTCTCAACTTTTTCTGTATTATAAACATTCTGTATTTGCTTTGTAATATTGCATCGCATTTTAATGAAGAGTCTTACCAGCTCTGTAGAAAAGTATTGGAGGGTCCCTTGAAAGCTGCGTTAGGATACACGCGGAAGTTCTACCGTTTACCAACATAGTTCACTGCTGTGGAGCGGCATGGTGTTTAGAATGGTTTCTGATGTCCTCTAACTTATTTACCAAAGTCTTGGATGTATGAAATAAAACTGCTGATTCATCTTGAGTTTTACGCAAACAATGAAAACAAGTGGAAATGGAAACGCTTTTTGCAGCGATTGGTAGATAGAACTCCCATTAAATTTTCTTTTTTTTTTGCAGGATGAACAAATACTGGAAATTCACAACGCTGCCACCGCTTGCGATCCGGACGCTGCTAATGAAGACGACTCTCCATAACAACAAAAAAGTAGCCCTTTAAAGTTTACGAGTTGATGCTTGATGGAAATATCTGCGACCGGTTTATGGGACACCCATCGATCAGGACAGCAACATATTCTTCTATATTTTTATTCTAAGTGCATACAAGTTTGAGCGAAACATTTCACTCTACTGATAGATATTGCCTTAGCGCTCATCCAGGTGACGTAAAAGAAAATAAATTGGAAGTCTTTAGTCTTTGTGAGTGATGATTTTCTGTGCAATTATTATTTTTTAAGGAACGGAGATGCATGTAGGGTGTTCCTCGTGGGGACATATTGTTTAATAAAAGGGCATGTCAGATAAGCCTGAAAGAATGCCGGATTGATGCAAGAGGCCTGCAAGATGTCCCGTTTGGAAAGTGTCTCGTCCACTTTACCCACAACATCCAAGTTTACCTTTCTTTTTACCCCCATTTGCTCTTTCACCTGAGAGTGTCGTGTTCACTGACCACATCGACGACATAGAACGTGCAAATGCTCAAACCTCCGATTGCGGTATTCTTTTTCACATTTGAAAAATGGTTTAAAGTTTTCTAGCTTGAAAAGACTCGAGCAAATCATTGTGCAGAATCTAGCCTACAAAGACCTGCATGGTGCACGACCCCGGATGAATTAAAAGAGACACAGTGCACGTTCAATGGTACGTTAACTTGACCCAATTTATTTAAAAAAACAAACAAAAATGTTCTTTACCATTCTTCAACACATTTACAAGCCATGCATCATGTTCTGTTATAGTTCCAGTAGTCTGTTAACTTCGTGTTGTTGTTCTGGGGCTTGCGAGACGTGCCGATACATTCTCCAATCTCGCTGAAGCGAGCTAGAGAAGCGGAGTCTGCACTACAAATTGACTTAGTTGGGTCCGACAGGCCAATTTCTGTAAAAAATATAGGCGCTGAGATCCTATATTTCCACAGACTTTATAGAAACAACAAATACTGCTTTCACATCTGCCAGGCACTTTGCTAGCTACCTCTGTCTACTTCAGTGAATAGAACATCAGATTGGTCACTAAGGAGGTGGATCTGTGTAATAAGCATGGCATAAATGAATATGACTTTGTGCAAACTTCAGAATTATATACTTTCTGAAACTTTCGTTAACCTTATTAGGGTGGTTGCGTTATGTCCTAATAATTTCAAGTATGTAGAAGTTTGCTCTCAAATACCATGTGAACTGCTCTTGCTTCCTTTTTAGTGCGTATGTAAGTACATTGCTGCATGATTTTCACTGAAATTCACACGGTATAGTTTTATATACCCCCAAAGGCGTCTAGAAGGAAGGTGAAGAAGTAGACGTACGTGTGCGAGCTTCGCGGTGGCTTGCTACTAATTCAGCGTCATCGCCACTTAACATTTATTTCTTCAAACAGGGCTGCATTTCTGTGTTTTTTTTTCGCTCTGAGACTAGTAGAATTTTGAAAAGTAGTCCTTCTTCCCCTGACTATGGGTTACGTGAACAGGTTCATGCTCACGAAACAACGTGCTGAGGGAGTCGAAAATTGACTGTAGCGATAGTGTGCTCCTTTGGATCACTGTCAGCTACAAGTTGGCAAGCTCACTCGTGATTCGACTCATTCAGACTCAGACCGGGCCGTACGTATAGGTGAGTCCCAGTGCGTAATGTTTTGGTGAGTATGAGTGAGCCTGGTTCAGAAAATTTTTGGCGAGTCTGAGTGGGCTCTAAGCCCGAGATACATTTCTTGAGTGAGTCCGATTGCCAACCTACGCTCTCAGCTGCTTTTTGTAGCGCTTCGTCAACGCGCGTTACCCGTCATGGTAGATGTGCCGTACAAAAGGAAAACGCATCACTGTTCAATCTAGATTGTGAAGCTGACACTAGTTTTTAAACGTTCACTTGAGGACTCATTCACGTTTTATTAAAATTTTTTATGAAAAGTTCCTCTAAAAACGTTTTGGTCAGTAAAAAATTTTGAGCAACAACAACGCATACGCACCATATATAAATTAGGTTAAAATTGAAATGTTCTTTTGTTGTGACCACGTATTCAGAACTCAGCAGCTTAAATGGATCTGTCGAAACACAGGATCTCAGATATATAAGGATGATTTCCAAATATTGCATAAATGTCTTCATTTCTGCCACAATCATAAACATTCCTTTCAAATGTCTGATAGGTCATTACTAGAAAACTATGTTAACACGTAACAGTACGTCAAAAACATGGGCTTCCGGCTCGAGCCAGTATTTACAACTCTTGGTGCTGAACGAAGTTAAGAAAAGTGTAAAAAGAACAGCAGAAAACATTTGTTGCTTTGTGTCACAGTCAATGCCTTTAGCAATTTATCACATGAGAGGTACACGTTTTGGCACGAAAGTGAAAATTATGAATACTAAACTCGTCATTGCTGGAAAGTTTCTTGGAGTATTTATCTGCACTTAAATGGGATGCAATGGAGACTCGAGAACACTACGCAAGCAGTGTAAGAAGTGCAAGTGCCTGAATGCACGTGCTGGCTCACCAGACAATCCTTCAGCGAAAATGTTTAGCCAATTGCTCTTTGTCACTTGATTCAAAGAACAATCATCCTCAAAAACTGGTGTGGACCAGAGAATTTGGGTAAATGCCACCACAGCTCCACTAAAAATGAACAAGGCAACAGTTTGCTCAACAACCAATGGCGGCGAAGGGGCGGCGGCGAGCCGATTACCCCGAGTACGTACGAGAGAATACTAGCGAAAGGGAAAGAAAAGGCAGCTGCGAGAAGCCAAGGACAACGTGCTTGGCTTATCGCAGCTGTACAGCGTTCCTAGAGGTGGGCGAATGCTTGGTTCCAATGCGCGTTTTTGTCTCTGGAGTTTGGACCGCTACGTAAACAGTTAGGATCGAACCTCTTTGCGCTACAAAAACGTAATAACACCTAGCTAATAGTTAGCAACAACCTAGAAACAACCTAGAAATCTGCATCACCTTGTAAGCCTAGAAGGCCTAAGGAACTAGATTTGTCCTCAGAATTATTCAGTCTTGCTCTTTCAAGCCCAGCGTGGCTTGGTGCAAGTTTTGCCAATTTTTATTATAATTTACTGACCGAATACTGGCGTCTTTATTTTGCACTGGTGTATAATGAAGGTGCCAACTGATATCTAGTTGTTAAGTTAGTGAAATCTACAAATTATAACAACTCCATAAAATTGTAACAATACCAGCATATAGGAAAATGCGCAGTACATACAGCATCAGGTTTGTATCCCATACGTGAAAGTTGGACACCACTCTGGACACTGCGAAGGAAAGTTCCGATGTACAAATATTATCACAATAGCAAACACATCTCATATAAGTAGGTGACTCGTTCAACAAAAACCTATGTTGTCGCGTGTAATCAATTCACCATGTTGCCAGCTTTTCCATGGTCAAACAGGGTAACGGGTGAGACAATATTATTGTCAATGATCATCGGTAGTCCACTGAGCCCTTATAGGCCCTGAAACGTTCCTAACATTCAGGGAGCTTAGCGCACCACTCTCTGGAGTGCGGAGTCACAAGTTCACATTCAGGGATTTTCATGCTGCGTTACCGTCCCATGGGTGGTCCCATGACCGATCACCATTTGTGATCGATAACCATCTCGATAACCACGACCGGTAACCATCCAACAAAGTTAAACTTGTACTTGTTTATCCACGACGACGACACTTCATGGGGCTGTCTACTCTTCTGGCACGCACAAAATCACCGAATACCCGTGACTAAATTGCGACAAAATGGCTGTGGTGAACGGTGTAAAACATGTAAAAACAAGATCGATCTCACAGAATTTTTGCTGACTTGTTTCGAGTGCCGCACTCATAAATCACGAAGCTATTATTTGGTTAGAAAACACAACATTTACAAAGCCACCCATTGCAAGCTTTTTATACATACTTTGCCCGTATGTATACCACAAGTATTCTTTAAATAAATTTGACAATGGCACTGCAGGATGTAAATTATGTTGACTGAATGAAAGCGAAGTTAAGGAGCGATCAAGCTAAACTAAAATCAAAAAGCTCAAATGTTAGTGGCGACAAATTTTAAGCTGAGGACAGCCATATGTTTTCCTTTTGTCTCACAGAAGTCTGCAGTGAATATTCCAGAAAACAAATAGATCAATAAAAACATTTTATGAAAAACACAAGCAACACCCTCATAGCAAGCACCATGCGCGGATTACCTTCGAACCATGCGAAGAACAATGCCATTGCACTGAAAGCACAGTCTATATGTCTATCGGGAAAATGTGGAGCTTGAAGGTATTTTTTTTATTAGCGCCTTCATTCCTGTAGAGCTCGTTTTATCTGCCAGTCCAATAATTCTATATCCTTGCTTTCAAGCTTTTTTTTACAGAAATCTATCGCCAATATCTGAAGAATGCATGAATGTATTATGTGAGGAACCATTTTTAACTATTGTAATGACATGCGAAACGTAAATTTCCATATAAAAACTTTCTAAAAACTCATAGTACATATTACTTCTTGAAAAGTACCCCCAAAAATTTGCTTCGCACACTTTGTGTAAATTCTGACTATATCGTTTTGTATAAAACACGAATGCGTATAAATGTCCTTGCTGGTTGTATACACGGAATCGCACTTGCCTAAAGCACCCAGCCTGCGGCTTCATCCGCCGTTTCTTGTAGAAATGGGCAAACACTGACACCGTAGTAATACCAAACCTGGTCATACCACAAGCCAAGCTCTTGTGCTATTGTTTCAAGCTTGAACGGAAGCTTGTTGCTAACAGGACGTGCATGCTGCCGACAACGTCAGCATCCACAGCCAATCGCTCCATCACTCTAGAGAATCACACGTGTGATATCGTCTTTATATAATTTAGAGAATAGCGCAACAATCAAATGAACAGCATAAGATTGACATCAGCAGTGTTTGCGTTTACAGTTGTCCTGTTGATTTTTTTCTGAGCTGTTCCTAAAACAACGCGAGTTCTCAATCTCGGCCAAGGTTGCCCATTGATTAGACTATAGGTGCACCTTAAAGAACCTCATGTGGTCGAAATTTCGCAGCCTTCCGCTGCGCTGTTTTTTGCAATCATATTGTGGTTTGAGACAGTAAAACTCATCTGTTCCCTATTGCAAAAAAACTAGTGTCCCCAGCGTGATGCCAGTACGTTTTTTGGCACTAGTACACGCTGGAGACACCGGTACGCGCTGGTATTTACTGGCACTTTGCTGGGTGCTGT